GATTTACAATATTTCATATTAGACTTGTTCAGTCACATTTTTGTTAAGATAGTGCTTTAAATACTAGAAACTGAGATATATTGGGGCTCCAGAAATTCCTAAGAATATGTAATGCTTTTGCCGCTGTTTTTTTAAATGGAGGGAAGGGTACAGTATTCTACATTAATGACAAAACTAATTTATTTTGATTGAAGCAGGGACAGGCTGCAGGACTGGTTTTGTGTTTGTTCAAATGTGCATTTTACGTACTTGAACTGTTTTGACAGTAAACATGTACAAGTACTTCCAAGACTGGGTCCACTCAAACTGAAGGGTTTCTCCATTTAGGGAGTATTTTTAAGTGTTGCCATTGATAACCTGGAACGCAGAAAATGCCCAGTCCAGTGAACAGCAGAGTCCTAGGCTCTGACTTCTGGCACCTATGTGCTTTACCATCTTCCCTTTGTTTGGGTGGTGCTGTGAACTTTAAGTAGGAGTTCACCTTTTCAATGCAAACACAGATTGAAGAATTATTCCTTCTGAATTTTCATCTTTGGAAGCTTCACTGAGTAATTACCTCCTTCAAACACTTAAGTATGCTTCTGCTGTCATTTTAAGATAGCTTTTAAACATGAAGAAAAATGAAGTGGACCTAACACCTGCACTAGGAAGCACAGCCATGACAATCCTTGTTCCCGCAGATCTATTACTGATAATTCCTCTTACAATATTGTTTGTTCAGAAATAGTGAAAAAGTTCTTTAAATTATTGCAATAATAAAAATCTATTTTTGTAAAGATGTTTCTTCTTATTTATTTTTTAAACAAGATGTTTTCCAGAAGCGAAATGCTTTATATGCTATCCAACATCTGCCTGCAAAATTAGCAGAGGAAACAGAGTTGCCTCAGATAAAATGCTGCATTTCTAGTATGCATCCTAGCTTATCTATAAAAAGTTCTAAGATAAAAATATTAGAACTTGTCAAACACTCAAAACACTAAGCCAGTTTAAAAATACACTTCAAGGTTCCAAATACCAGTATAGTTCTTTTCTAGCTGTTCCTGAGGCTGTGACTGTTACTTACTGCTGTGTCCAGCCAGAGGTCTGTCATGACTTGTAGTAGATAAAAGCTTGTAAATTACAGAGCTTTGTGTCAGACCTTTCTTTTTAGACGCAGATATCACCAGCATCCCCTAGTCCAGCCAGAAGGAACATTTATGGAACCAGAGTAACCTATCATTTCACATTACATGGGCATCAATTCAAATTTTGGGCATCTATGAAAAAAACATCATATTTAAGTAGAAGTAAAATACTACCACAAATTTATAAAATGTTTAAGGAAAGTTATGTAGCTGTTTTTATAGTAAATCACAGGGCAATTTGTATTGGGGACAGAAAAATCACAGGACTATTTTCCAGTTATTTTTTCTAAATAAGAGGTATGCTTCTCAAAATTCAGACAGGCCTTCCTTCTTTCTGCCCTACACTATGTTCCTCAACCTGACATACGACTTCAGTCAAACAATCCTGTAGAACAGACTCCTTTCCTGAAAACACAGTTGTTAATTCCATCCTAACTATAACATCAAAGCAGAAAGCAACTGTTCCCTTCAATCTACTCTGTTTTTCAGCACTGCCTATCTTACATATTCAAGCTAAACACTTGATTTAGAAGACCTGGTCTCTGCTATAAATCCTTCCTGATATAATACTTCAAAGAATCACAATCCTAACTGACATTTTTATACCAGCAGAAGGAGACTTTATATTTCATTTAAGAAGCTGGGAAAGTTACAGTGGAAGAAAGTCTTTCGCTGATACAAATTGTAGCTGTATTGCAGATTTTGCTAATACAGGGATAGTGACAAGTCCAGCTAGAATTGCCCTTATCAGAGGGAAAAGACCAGAATGCACTAAAGGTACAGCCTAAGTTATTTTATTCTGAATGGAGATACCCTACAGTCAATCCATGCCAGAGTTATAGACATAAAAACATCAGGATATATTTGAATCAGGTCTCAGAAGTATTTTAAATGGCATTAGCTACCACAACTTAAAAACAAGGATCAATTTTGTTCTGCCTGTGTTTACCCCATAGGTGGCACCTAAAGTAATCTGCACAGTTCAGCTGTAAGCTCCTGAACTCTCACAAGCAAAGCTACATGTGTGTTCAGAGGCAAGACAGAGGCAGCTAGCACCTTGAATGTTACTCTGGGAGCAGGTTTTACTACTGGAATGAACACTTTACATAGCAGCACTCCAGCCATTTAAAGAAAATATCTTCACACTACTACTTAGATCTAGGCAACAGTCTTCTGATTAACACTTAGGAAGAAAATATGCCTTCTGCTTGCTAATGGAAACTGCTTTGGGGTCTTTTCCTAGTATACCACCATTAAAAACCCTCTGTTGGAAAGGAAGAAGGATGGGCTGATCAAAAAGCAGTAAAAGTTCTGGATTCCTCCTGCTCATGTTGTTATTTTTACATAGCCCTGGAAGCCACAGGCATTACAAAGTCTTTTTTTCCTCCAAAGGAAAAAATAGTTGAAAAAATGTGCAAATTTCCCAGGTAGCTGAGGCAATCCCGAGTAAATGAAACTATTCCTTTCAATGTTTAAGGAACGTTAGCCTAAATCTTAATTGTGGAGAAGGGAAATGAGGCATGGGAAATAGCTGCATGTATCAGCTTTACACATACCTAAAATACAGGATGGATAAAAATGGATGCCTATGAAAGTCTGCATGGTGGGTTGACCATGGATAGATGCTAGGTGCCCACCAAAGCCACTCTGCCACTCCCCTCCACAGCTGGGCAGGGGGGACTGGAAAATAAGATGGAAGCCTAGTGGGTCGAGTTAAAGGCAGGGGGAGATCCCACCAAATACCATTACTGGCAAAACAGACTCAGCTTTGGGAAGATTAATGTGACTTATTACCCATCAGAGTATGATAAGGAGAAAATAAAATACTCCTCCCTTATTTCCAGGCTTTACTCACGAATTCACCATCTCCTCTCCCAGCAGTGTGGGGAGACAGGGAATGGGGGTTGTGGTCAGTTCACCACACATCATTTCTGCTGTCCCTTCCTCCTCAGGGGGAGGACTCCTCACACTCTTCCCAGGCTCCACTGTGAGGTCCCTCCCACAAGAGACAGTCCTCCACCAACCTCTCTAGCACAAGTCCTTTTCACAGGCTGCAGTTCTTCATGAACTGCTCCAGAATGGGTCCCTTCCACAGGGTGCAGTCCTTCAGGAACAGACTGCTCCAGCATGGATATCCACAGTGTCACCAGTCTTGCCAGCAGATCTGCTCCAGTGTGGGCTTCTCTCTCCATGGGGCCACAAGTCCTGCCAGGAGTCTGCTTCAGCACAGGATTACCATAGGGTCACAGCTTTCTTCTGGGCATCCACCTGCTCCACCACGGGGTCCTCCATGAGCTACAGGTGGATCTCTGCTCCCCCATGGACCTTGATGGGCTGCAGGGGTCTGCCTGCATCACCATGGTCTGCACCACAGACTGCAGGGGAACCTCAGCTCCTGGAGCACCTCCTCCCCCTCCTTCTCCACTGACCTGGGTGCCTGTAGAGTTGTTGCTCTCACATATTCTCACTACTCTCTCTGGCTACACTTGCTGTTGCACAGTTTTTTTCCCCTTAATATATTACCCCCAAGGCTGATGAGCTTGGCCTTGGCCAGTGGCAGGTCCATCCTGGAGCCAGCTGGCATTGGCTCTGTCAGATACAGGGGAAGCTTCTGGCACCTTCTTACAGAACCAACTCCTATAGCCCCCTCACTACCAAAACCTTGCCCTGCAAATCCAATACAGTCAGAGATGTTTTGACATTTAGAGATGCTCCCCTCATCACAGAAGGAATAAAGGGAAATTGCCAAATGCTGGTCACAGCGAGCAAGACTCAAGATCATTTTCCAGTGCCCAACTCGAACCAGTTCTGGAGAGCTGAACACAACCTGGACCAGCTGGGACAAAGAGAGGGACCAGAAACTGTGAAGAAGAGCTCAGGGGTAGGAGTGGAGAGCTGGAAGACGTGATACTTCCCAACTACCTGTCTTGGTTGGGTGGTAAAGCATTAATCCACACATGGCTGGGACAGGTTTGAAGAAGTGTAACAGAGTCTGGTAGGATATGTGGAAACAACTGAAGGGATGCTTGTGGGTGTAAAAACTAGGTCTAGTGAAGAAAAAGTCAGGAATGCCTCCATAGGAAGCTCCCAAGAGCCACACTTGAGCTCCCAAGAGCTCTCATATCTCCTTTGTAACAGTAGCTGGGCTAAGTGCAAGACCATGCTCGGGCAGGGAAGTAGAGGGGACTCATGCTCTGCAAAATGAAGAGAGACAAAGCTCATCCCTCTGTTCCTTCTGGTTATGAGAAAGCAGTAAGTGTAGATAACAATCATATAGGCTGTGGCAGAACAGTGGAGAGACCAGAGGCTTCATTTTCCAGACCAGCTGGTAGGCAATTCTTCTTTGGCACATGCCAGGCTCGTGAATTTTACAGCAATACTTTGCAGCAAGGAATACTTAGGTAATCAAAAAGTCTTCTGTGTTTCAGGTGTGCCAGAAAGGAAGCAAACTTACTAACACTCAAGACAATTCCCTTCATTTTCTTCTATTTTTTCCCCTCTCTCACATCATACAACAATGTTGTTCAATTAAAATATACACTAGCTTCCACTTATTTTCCATTCCTATTCAACAGGACAATATTAAGGCCCTCTACAGTTTAAGAAAGCTTGAAAACACTGCCTTGACTCTCTTCCGCTCTTTTTGCATGAAGTTTCTCACTGTATAAAACCAAAATATGCCAATTAACCAAACTACCAACCCAAAATTCACCATTTAAATATACCGTTGTTTAACAGCTAATTTTTGAAAATGCATTTTTTTCCATGATGAATCTGATAATTTGAGATAATTAATTCTGTATAATATAGAGAACTCTGAACACCTCAAGCATTTTAAGTGTTGGAATACGAGGTGAAAGAAAAGTGGCAATGACCTCCCAGATTAATAATCCTTTTATTTATTAACATTTAAGAATGATGGTTCCAGAAAGTTCATTTTATTAAGTGTCCCCATAAATGTGGGTTTTTTAATATTTAAAAATACCCAACTTTTACAATTTCAAGTTTCAGTGCTTTGAGCTACAGAAACAGGAGCATATAATAGTGAATTCCTCCAACATACTCAGTTCACAAGGCAGAAGGAATACCAGAATTATTGAAGTTTGACCTCCTGTATAACATGAGTTTTGGGCTTCCCTGATTTAACCTCCATTTCAGTCCAGTAACTGGGGGATTTCCTTTAACAAAAACACCAATGCTGCTGTTTCATAGAACATAACCAACAAAATTAGCAAGCAGACGTACTACTTCTTGAGTTTCTTTTGAGCAGCCTTTTTCTTGACCATCTGTAACCTTTTCATAGCATTGAGCTGAGATTCCTGAGAAGTTGGGCCCTTTAGGGAGGCTGACTGATTACCAGTATCTGTGGTGGTTTTACTCGTGCTGCCCCCGCTGTTCCCTGAATTCCCGCTGTTGCCGTTCCCGCTGCTCCCCTGGCTGCTGGTGCTCGGCACGGCACTGCTGGGACTCGGGAGACCCACTTTGCTGACGTTGTCGCTGCTCACTGAGCGGCTCAGGGTGGTTTTCCCCAGTGTCAGAGGTGGAGGAGGTTTCAGCTGAACAGGGTTTGTGCTGTTGTTGGCAGAAGCTATTTTTGACCCTAGTCCTGTTTTTGAAGTTGCCAACCCTGACAAACCCACAGGTTTCTGGTTATTTGAAGAAGCTGCCGGTTTCCCACTGGCACTCTGTGCTGTTGATCCCAGTTTGGCAGTTGATGGATTGGCAGAGGAGGTTTTGGCTGCAAAAGCAGCCCATCCTGTAAGGCCGCTCGTTGCTGAAGAGGAAACACTTGTACTGGCAGAGTTCCCCGAAACTGCTGCTGAGGTCTAAAATAAAAAAAACATTCTTATTACAGTAGCATCTATTTGTGCAACACATCACAGTATGAATACATCGAGCCTCTGTTTCAGTTCTTTTCCCAGGATCATCCAATGGACAATATTTCATCACTGCTTACTGCAGTTGAAAGTACTAACATGAACATGAAAGGATGCCAGGTGCAGCCAACTTTTAATCTCCCAGCCACATGGAACAAATAATACCTTTTCTCCCCTTCCTTCTATACAGTTAGCAGGCTACCATACAGCATTGTGATCCCTCCATGAATAATAAAAGCCCAAATTTGTGAACTATATAAAAGGTGGTGGCTTGCCTTCCTTTTTTTTTTTTTTTTTTACTGTTGTTACCTGGTGTCACTTGTTAACAAGATGACAGATGCTTGGACAAAAATCAGACATTGATCAATTTATTAGTAGCAGTATCTAAACTGTTTCCTTTCTCTCCCTTGGTTCTTAAAAGCCTGTACCACAGAGAGAACTAAAAAAAAAAAAAAGTCACTGCACTTCTTTCCTGTAGGTCTCTTCCCATTCAGGTACTGCAAAACACAAGCCTTCTGCACACATGGGCTCCCTTGCTTGCAAAGTGCTATACACATTACCTGAGTTCCCACACCTTAAACCCTATAACCCCCAGGTTTCAGATGGGGATGATATGTTGCAGTATTAAACCAGAGTTACAGCAAATGGCAAAGTTAAAATGAAAACTAAACCCCTCTATTTAAGTAATATCCCTTTTACAGTATTTCTGGAAAGTTTCTAAACAGTAAAGATGACGGATGAAATCAGGCCTCAGGTCTAACAACCCATTTAGGCAAATAAATAACTCTGCTGAGGTGAAAAAAGTATTCTCAAGTATAAGAGCTTGAGCAATACCCATCATATTATTCATGATGGTTTGCATCCAGGCAGAGCAATGGCAAACATAACTCTGAGTGCATGAATAGTTGCTTTGATTTTGAGTTAAAGCTGTGTTTTCCTAGGTAAGCGTCACGCTTTATTAGACTGCTATGTTTTTTTACTATACTGCCTCTGGTTTACCACCTTTGAGCAAATTGTGACAGTATTTTAACTTGGAAAAAACAGAAATAGAAGCAACATAGAATCATGGAATAGAATCACAGAATGGTTTGGGTTGGAAGGGACCTTGAAGGTCATCTAGTTCCAACGCCCCTGCCCACGCTACCCACTAGATCAAATTATGTGTAAGAAGCAGCAGTCTCCTAAATTAGATCTCAGAGTCAGCTAGAGTTTCCCTTTTGTAGACTCATAGAACTGTCTAGGCCAGAAAAGACCTTCAAGATCATCAACTCAAAGTGTAAACCCAGCACGTCCAAGTCGACTGTTATCAGGAAGAAAAGCCTAACTGTTAAAATACACACGTTACTTGACCACAGAGACCAAATAATATATTTTCTATGATTCATAGAATGATAGAATGGTTTGGGTTGGAAGGGACTTTAAAGATCACCTAGTTCCAACCTCCCTGCTGTGGGCAGGGACACCTTCTACTAGACCAGGTTGCTCAAAGCCCCATCCAACCTGACCTTGAAAAAATGCAGGGATGGAGCATCCACACGTTCTCTGGGCAACCTGTTCCGGTGTCTCATCACCCTCACAATACAGAATTTCTTCCTAACATATAACCTAAATTTATCCTCTTGCAGTTTGAAACCATTCCCCCTTGTCCCATCACTACATTTCCTTGTGAAAAGTCCCTCTCCAGCCTTCCTGTAGGTCCCTTTTAGGTACTGGAAGGCCCCCTGGAGCCTTCTCTTCTCCACGCTGAACAACCCCAGATCTCTCAGTCTGTTTTCACAGGAGAGGCTCCAGCCCTTCCCAGCTCCTTTCAGCAGTCTCCTTTGGACCTGCTCTAACAGGTCCATGTCTTTCCTGTGCTGAGACAGCTGGACACAGTAGTTCAGGCAGGGGCTCACAAAAGTGGAATAGAGGTGCAGAATCACCTCCCTCAACGTGCTGCTGGGCCAGCTTCTTATGATGTAGCCCAGGATATGGCTGGCCTTCTAGGCTGCCAGGGCACATTTATAAAGATTTCTACTTGTATAAAATATCATTAAAAAAATTCATAGCGTCAGTTCTGTTCTTTCCCTTGTAACATAAAAATACAGTCAAGAGCTGGATGTTTTAGGGATTTCCTGGTGAAGTGAGGGTTTTTTCCCCATTCTTTCAGTGTTAATGCTATGGTGCTGCTCCATCTGCATTGTTTTCATTCATGATTCTTGTGAGAAAAGATTATAATCTATGCAGTGAAACATAAACTTTTCCTCTGGCAAATTTAAACTACATTACCTTGACTTCTGTTCTCTTGAATGCTAGAAAAGCTGGTGGGGTCTCAGGTTTTAACTTAATTTCTGGCTTCTTGACCAATGGATCCTTCAAAGCTGGTGCAACTGAAACCACTGCAGGAGCTGGTTTTTGAGGTGGCTTTTGTGTCTTCTGAGCCTGTAAAAGTGGTACCAAAAAATCATGCCAAATTAGTTACAGACCCTATAACATTGACTGTTCTGACTGTTAACAAAAAGCATGAGCATTTTAACATTGCAATCTAGTCTTTACAACCTCAAGTTTAATGGTCCATGAGAAATGAGGTAATAGGGGATGTGGAGATAGTGCTGGTTATGGTATTGGAGACAGGGTCCAGCCACAAAGCATCCTGAACAGAACTTGCTATTTCAGCGTGGAAAGAGTTGCAGCGGTGACACTGAGAGAACAGGAAAGCACTGGGCCTTTACAGGAATAAGGTAAAGGAAGGTGAACTTGCAGAAGAAAGGGACATAATCCAGCAGTACTGGGATGTGGGCTGCAAGAGCCTGCTAAGAAGTGGCAGGCAAAATGGCAGAATTCATGCCAAAAAGGAAAAAAGGAAAAGTCATATTGAAGGCAACTATTGAATGGCTGCAATTGCTACCCTGTGCAGGAACTGACCTTCAGCAAACACTCCTCTGAGTTCAACAGCCTGATGATCATCAGAATAATCATGTATTTCAGTCAGTGATGATAATTCCTAGGCCAGGATCTTACATTGCCTTTTTTTCTTGTTTCTTAGTAGAGCCATTTCAAAAGATAACAACTTGCTAAGTTATCACAGAGCAGTTTCAAAACACACTTTCTGCTGTATAAAAGGGTGTGATTTTAAAACGTTGGAACTAAAGTCACCAATGTTTCATGCACCCAAGGTGCTGTCTTACTCTCATATTCATTTCTCATAATGAGACGAGTGCAATTGCAGTGGGATCCTGTTTAGTCAAGAAATTAACATGCAGATCAATCAAAATAAAGATTTTAATTTCTCTTTTTTTTTACTGGAATGTGCTACCCTCAGCTTGTTTTTGAGCCTGAGAAAACTCAATGCTTGACATCTGGACTGAAATTTGCAGTCTTGTCCTACAGGAAAGGAACCATTAATGTCCAAAGCTGAGAAGAAAACTAAAACTGTAGGGCTATTTGGTAGACATATGCTAAAAACTGAGTATCACCCAAAATAAAGAAAATAAAAAGTTTCAACTGCTGCCTGCCAAGTAGGAAATAATCCTATTTCACTCTTCTTCACTCAACTTTTCATTTTTAAAAAACGTTTTTTAAGAAGCACATTGCAGAATGCTCTTTGAGATGCTACATTAAAAAACACACCTGCAGCAAGGGAAGCACTGCTGAGAAAAACAGTTTTCCAACGTGCTTCCTAAGATTTCTCTAACCCATAAAATACTCTCACATAGTAGAAATAGCCTGCTGTATTCAAATAGTGCTCACACGAGACAAAAAACTGACTCCTACCATTCTCTTCATCTGCCTGGTACAGCGGGCACAATACCATACAAGTCGAGGATCATTCACTTCCTTGTCTGTCACCTGAGGTTTATGGCAATCCTGGTGGTAGAGATTATGGCACTCCTGACACTCCACTAGCTGATTCACAAAAGTAACTGTCATTTGCCTGCAGAGCAAATAGTTAAGAACAGATTATGGAAGAAAGCACTTAGAGGATTATCCAACTGTTGAAAATTTTGCAAGGCTTAAGATAAAAATTAAAAATATTTTTGCTTTCGCATATATTTCCTACCTTTGGCAAATGAAATGTATTCCTTTTCTTCCTGTATCAGCTCTTCCTAACTAATATTTTAGAAACTTGATATTTTTAAAAGGTAATTTTTTTCAAGAATATCTAAAACTTCCACAATATTAAACATGTGTATGACAGTTTTGATTTCTCTGTTTGATTTTTATATTAGAAATATAAGTCTTGTCTGCTTTGCTTCACCTGGGCATTTTATGGATACATCACTCTATAACAAACATGACTTCCTCATTATATTAGTATATGAAGGCCTAGTCTCCATTTGTACAATTTTGCTGTAAGCTTTAGAGCAATACAGTTCAAAAACAATTAACTTCTCAACGACAAGCCGGTAAGAGTGCTTTCTGCTACAGGATTTGAAAGCATCATCATCCAAGCTCTACACTACTTTGAAGATGTTTTATTAGCCATCCTTTTGGTCCCTACTACACAAACAGACACGTGGAATTTGAGATAATACCAGAGTCATGGAAAGATGGAATAGAAAGGATTAATTGTGCAGTCCTGCCTTGAAGCAAACATGCAAGCTGGTGATGAGGACTTCATTTTGCATGGGCCTCTGTTGAAAGTAATCATGCTGTATAAATGATAAATTAGTGATATATACATGACTGGGAGTCTGCCTGTGAATTAGCCAAATACCATTTTCTTAACGATTTCTTCTTTCAGAGGACAAATCAAGCTATTTAATTGCTAAGCTGCTTTTGCTCATATCCCTGAGGAGCAGGTACCCAGGTAACCATGGAAACTCTATTTGTAGATGGGTGGGGAAAGGTAATCCCTTATTTCTTTATATAACAGAAAAATGAAGTCTGATACTACAACATTTTCTAAGAAATATTTCTCTTTTACACAGGCAATTTAAAAACAGAGGGAGAAACCTTTCTGAAATTCCAGGGTCCATTATTCTACATGTAGGATATTTGAAAGACATTTTGTTTGTTTCTCATTCCTAAATAAACTGGATCAGAACAAAGCAGTGATTTTTCAACCTCATGTGTCAAGGCGGGAGACTCACCCTATTTTAAAATTACAAAGAACAATCCCAGACTGATTAAAAAGTCAGGAACTCCTCATGATCAGAAACAAGTTAAACCACTTACTTTTAAATTATAAGATAACTAAGAAACAAGCCTAACAATTTTTTACCATCAAAAAACAAACAAAAAGGTATTAACAAAAAATTTGAAATTTTGTTATTTCCAACCCAGTGTTTTTTAAAGATTTTTCTGGGATGAAAACTTCACAATCATCTATAAACTCCATACAGTATTTCCTCTTCATATAACTGAGGAGCCATGTAACTGGTGGGTCCTGTTTTTGCAAGACTTACAGCTACTGGAGAAGTTGAAGTTATTTTAATATTCTCTCCCTCCTTATGCCTAAGTTGGCATAACAGAACAAGAAGAAAAACACAATAGGCATCAACGTGCAATACTCGTAATCACTGTGAAAATACATTTGACACTTGGCAAATCTTGAAGAAACATTTCACATCTCTGCTTTAGTTTTTACATCTATAAAAAGGAATAGTTAATATTCGAATGCACTTTTTGCATTTGTGAACTCACAGTTGGGTTCTTGTCAACTTGTCTTCTTAAGCAATGTAAATATAAACTCTTTTGCTATGAACTCCACCTACTCTGCAATTGGACATGATGTTTTCATTCACAACTGGTTGAATAATTGAGTCATTAGAAGATGCCATTTTAAAAATACTATTCATACTTGAGTTATTTTACAGAGTATCCAGTGCTTTTATTCTTCATATGTATGGGGATATTATTATTTTGGCTCAAGATGGCCACCCCAAAAACAGTGCACATATTGAAAGTGAGCAGTAAATAGAGGAATACTGTCTGACCAACGTGTTCGAGTCAGAACTCCAAAGCACAAATCCTCTTAAAAGCATCTGGTTCAGCACGAGGTGGAGGTGAAGAACCATGTGACATCAGTCTCAGCAAGTTCTGTGTAAAATGAAAGTGATCCTGAGTGTGAGGGTGACTGTTGCCACCCCCTCTCTAACGGGTTGTTTCTTTCCCTGCAGTACTTCTCTCTCCCTCTGGCATCAGTTAATGAGAGCTATTTTAGTTAGCCAGGGCAGAAAACTCTTTTGCAAGAACAATTGAGTTGGTGATCATGAGCATGTAGAAGCAACACCTTCAGCAGCCAGGTTAAACATTGATTGTGGAACAGCTAATGGAACCACATACCCAGCTTGTGCTTTTCAAAGCAAAGTCTTGGCCATGCTGGGCACAGGAGTTGCATTTTCTTTAGTTTCTTTACTTTGCAAGCATTTCTCATTATGCCTGTATGTGGTTTTTTTTGCCAGGGAAGACAGAAAATTAATAATCCACAACAGGCTCAAGACTGTCTAAAAAAACCTTTTTGTTATCCCTTCCTGCCAAATAACTTAATACCATACTATTCTTAGTAGCATTTTAACATACCACCAAATGGGGATTTGCCCCTTTTAGGGGACAGAAAAGGTGGAATTTGAAGGAAAAAAAGGTAAAATTGAGATATTTATTTCTTCCTTTTTCAGTGTCTCTATTAAGAAACTAAACATTTGAGCTAACATATGGAAATAATGTGACATGAAATCTCATCAGTCCACAATTGGTTACCAGTATAATTAGCTGTAACAACAGAAATTTATCATCCCTGGACTGCAGTTGCCTCCTTACCTACACAACAGGAATAACCATGAAAATGATGGAACAACGAAGTTATAAAGCCCAGTTTCACAAATGACTTAAGCTGAGCTGAAATACATACTTGCTACCGAAAGGCCAGTTCCAACCCCTTCTCTGTCCTGGCTCTACATTCTTGTATCCACACATGTGCCAACACAAGCATTTACTCTCACTAAGCCTACTGAAACCTAAACCTACTGAAAAACCCACGTGGAAAGCTGATCCAGAAGCTGATTCAGCTCATCACAAAACTCTGTGTGCAATACATCCCCTAAACAGTACAGGGAAGGAGGTACAACTGGGAGAGCCAAACTGCTCCTTTTGGCAGCAGTGGGGGCTTAACAAGGACATAAATAATCTGTGAAACCAAATCCTGGTTTGAGTGATTTGATCCTAGGGTAGATATTCAGAAGTGAATTTTATACTTCTGTTAACACTAAATGTACTGCTAGTACAATGTTAATAAATCCAATTTTAGAGCCCGTACTGGAAAGTAAAAAGAACCTGTCTTCACTGCAAGATATATTTACTGAGAAAACATGGCTATGTGTAAATTAATGTCAAATGATTAGGAAAAGAGGAGCAAAACATATACATCTCATAATAATGCCACTTACAAATGCTTTCAGAAGAGAAGTGATTTTTTAAAATGCTTATCATTAGCTGTTAATACTTTAACTTGCTTTCCAATAATTAAAAACTGGTATTTGTCACGATAGGCTTTGCATCATGTTTAGTTTTATTTTTCACTTGCCTTTTCCTGAAGAAAAGCTGTTTTTCTCATTAAAGGTTCTATTTTCAAGAAACTATTCTTATTCATGAAGGATGCTTAAATCTATTATCAACTTTGGATATGTGCTTAAGTGATCTCCAGAATAAAAACTAAAAGAAGCATTAACTCAATGGTACACATTAAAAAAAAAGGTAACTACCTAGCAATGAAGCAACGTGGACTTACCTGCAAACGACACAGGCCAATCCCATTTCCATAGCAAAGTCATCAGCACTGGTTTCCTCAAAGCTAGATAAATCAGGCATTGATAAATCCTTGCTCGTCTGAACTGTAATAGGAGAGGAACGAGCCTCTTGCTTCTCTACTTTGGGCTTCTTTGGTGCATCAGCTCCTTCAGCAGTATCCCCTTTTGTCTATTAAACACATACAGAATGTGAAAACTCAAAATGCTAGTAGATATTATTAAAATGAGAAAATAATTGGCACGATTAGATTAGAAGTATAAGAAAGTGTGCTTTACAGAGGACACACACAATGTATTTTCTTTAATTACATATTTTCTTCAAAATATTTACGAACTAGAACCTCAAGCCCACTTTTTGTACTTCACCTCAAAATCCTTGAAAAAGCTTTGGGAAATCCACATTTCAATTTGCTACATTTTAGTACCTTGTTATTATCAGGATGATTCAAAACAGAGAATCACAGAATGATTTGGCTTGGAAGAGACCTTTAAAGGTCATGAAATCCAACTCCCCCTGCACTGAGAAGGGAAAACAATCACAGAATAATTATAAGAAGACTTTTGTTGGAGTGCCTAAAGACATGATTGGCTAATGCAGCTCACAGGTTACGCACCACTAGATGAGTTGAGCTACAGAGACTGAAAAGGGAACCTTCTGTTTAAAACACCTTCGAGGTTATATACCAAGTTATCTCATTAGAGAACAAAAATCACTTACTTTATCAGCAGATCTCTTTTCTGTTTCTTTTTTCACCTTTTCTGATGCAGTGGGCTTGCCATTGTTGTTGCCAGAGGGCAAACTAGAAGAAGTTTTAGGCTCTTGCTTAATAGGTTTGGTAACAGATACTTTTGGTTGCTCGGCTTCCTAAAAACAGAAACAAAAATTGAAGGCAAACCCTACACTCGAGATACTTCCCAATTTGCAATTAGTTAGATACCAGGATAGGCAAACAACATACAACACCAATCATCTACACACACACTTTTAAAAAAAACCATTTCTTAAATATCTTCATACCACGTCAATAAATTAGTGTGCATAAGTTGCAGACAACTAGTAAAACCTCCCCTTACCACTCACCTTCCAGAGGGAAAGGTGCTCCTTTTCCAAAGACAGATCCTCTTTGGAACATTAATTAAAAAGGAAGACATTTCTGCTTTTAAAATTCAAAGAGATAATGAACACAAATTTTCAGATAATTCTGAGGACAAAATTCAATATAAGCTGAAAACATAACCCGACCTCTGATGTAACCAGACATCAATACTTCATTCCTTCATGGAGAAAAATATTGACCTCTGCTGAATCTCAGTCCATATTCATCTAGCAGATGAATAAATTTAGATCTCAACAGGACTCAATAGTTCTCATTAATGACGCCTTAAGGTCGGCAATGGACAATAACCAAGAGAGTCTGCAAATGAGTGATTAATCACACTTATGCACAGGAGCAAGGTACCCCCTCTCAGCTGGTAAGAGGGTAGTAATTCCCTGCTCTGTACTGGGACAGGTCCTAAGCCCTGAGCTTCAGCTCTCTGAAGTTTGTTGACTTCCTGTTGCATCCAGGGTCAGGTTGCATCCTCATCTGCCTGACTGTGGTAACTCTGTGCTCCCTACTCTGTTCTTGGATTTCATGGTCAACCATAAATTAATCCTGCAGCCTTATAAGAATGCAAGGAAAGAAACCATTACATTTTTTTTTTCATTTCTGAGCTTTGCAATCCAGCTGATACTGGAGACATACTAAAAAGAAGAGAACAAAAGATTTCTTCCTCTGGCCTGAGCTTCAGTTTCACCTGAGGGCAGGTGACTGCCAGCCAAGCTGTTATTAGAATGGCTTCCCAAGTCTCTTTGCACTATTATTGATCTCTCTGCTTCCTCTTTAAACCACAAATCGCTTCTTTGAGCTCTGAGGGCACTCGAGAGTTTTGAGACCTGTGTTAGGGGGAACTGCAGTTTAGGTTTCAGGGAGCTGAACAGAAAGGAGTTAGACCACACCGTACAAGCCTGATATATGCTGAGCAGTAATAGTATCTTTTAGTTATTTGGAACCACGTAGACGTAGAAATGAAATATTACTGATGTATCAGCATACAGACCATCATTATAACACACCAGGCTGACTTCCAGGCATCCTAGGGGAGAACACTACCTCGTTATCCATATGGCAATATGTAGCAGTACGAGGATGTCCCCGCTTGGTTATTTCCATTCACTAATTTGGATTCAAATAGTCCCTCTAGCAGGTGTTCAGTGATTTTCGGTAGATGAAAAATAATGTTTGTCCATTGGACGGCAATGGTTCCAGACTGCAAATCATTTCTGCTTTGAACCATTTTGTGTTTTTCATTCCCATATGACTTCATCAACAGAATTTCACGGAAAGAGACCCAGCTTTATCAGTAAATAGCTTGTTCTGTTTCATATTTATCTGTGGCAAAAGTAATCGGCATTTTAAAGACCTTTTAGCTCTGAAATGTAACTGCAGAAATACGTAAGTTTGGGTTCACCTTACATAGCATGTCTGATATAATGTTGAATATCTCTTTTAAAGGTCTTCGTATATCAACAAGGTAGAGATTTTTCCCCATTAACTTCTGTTAATTGAATAGACTATTTTGCATAAAAGGGAAATGATGAATATGAACATTCCATGATTACTTTTTCTTTTTCCTAAACTTCTGATTCTCTTTTAACTTTCCAGCTATAAAAGAGGAACTAGGAATAGAAGGAGCTCTGTAAAGGCATACAAAAATGACCCATGCTCTCTAACACCAATACCTTCTGAGATGGACGATAGCTTGACTCAGTTCCTCTGGCCAAAGACTCATCAAGAAGTGCTTTCAGCTTTTCTGCAGAGTCCTTACTCTTTGAATGCAAGAAGCCCAGGGCTTTCAGAAAAATGGGATCAAGCTCCAAGTTCACTGTAGCAGCCATAGTGGTGTCTTCAGAGGGAGTTTGAATGAAAAAAAACCAAAAAACAAAGAAATAAAGAAAATCAATGACAACTTTATTCATCTGGAGCATAACTAAAACAGCATGTGGTTATTTTTTTTGCAAAATGGAATGACATTAAATCACAGGAAGGATGATATGTGAATTAATTATCACTAGAAGATGACTGATTGTGAACTCTAGAGTTGCAAAACTTGAATTTGACTTTACATCTGAAATTATGTCAAATTAATTCTTTGGCATATCTGATATTCAGAAACTAAACTCATCACACTCAGGTAAATGAAACAAATATTTCATATTCTTGATATTCCATACATCAAGAATATTGAAAAGTATACAAAACAAGTGTCAACTTCAAGGAAAGCAATTACTACTCTTCTCCTCAACATTATTTGCACATAGAGTTATTTCTAACTCATGGCTTGTTTAAGAGTAACTAAAAAATCTTACTTGCAGAAAAATTAACTTTTGAAACTTCTGACAAAAAGCCAGCTCATTGTAGCATACAATATAAGATAAAACGGCTAGTGTATTATTTTATACAAATACCTGAAAAAACACCCTATCCATTTTTAAATTTAGCTGGAACAGTGAGAAAATTTATAACTTAGACTGTGATTTAACCACGCCCCCATGTGACAGTCTGGGTTTTAATGTCAAGTAATGACTATCCAAGGCTTCAATATGCCACAGTGACAATGTAAATGGAACGAAGTGAGAAAAAGGTTAGAACTAATTAAAAAAAATTATGTTTGCTTCAGAGCAATACATTCTGGCACTCTGGAACCTTCTCGGTTCATTTCTTTAACAAAAGCTCTCAGGAACTGCATTTACATTGGAAACCGTACTTAAAAAGATCTCACTTAATCAGTAATTGACAATTAATAATTTAAGAAATAAGTGGGAAGTTATGGGAACACATCAGGATGCTTTATGGTTTTGTTTGGTTTTGGTTTTTCGTTTTTTTTACACAATAATCTAGATGTTCTTGAAAAGCCTTTCATCAGTTCTGCTCAAAAGCACTGGACAGCTTTTTCAGCTGGAGCTTCCAAGGTTTTGTCTGATTAATTAATTCCTTTTGATATTCATGGTAGTGAACTTTTACCTCTCTGGCCAAAACACCAGCAGTGGCAGCCTGCTCCCTTAACACTTGCCTAGAAGTCCCTAGGAACCTTTATCTCATGCTGAGCTTTCACGAGACACCAGAGAATCACTTGACTGAGATCATCAAGGAGTTCAACATACAGTAGACTTCATAGGGATTTTATCAATGGACCCAGCAGAGAGTTAAGAATCCTCTTCAAGAGCCTCTTCTCTCTTCCTTAATCTTTGCTACTTGACAAATCATTTTCTGGTGGCCACAGAACTTCTGCTAGTAATACCACACACCAGTTACTCTGCTTTTTCACTGATCAAGCAGAGACTGCAGTGAAAGCCCCATCCAGTCTCTCTCTGATGATTACAAAAAGTGAATTCACAGTGCATGGAAAGCACATACCCTTTTTTTAATGCATCAACCTCTAATAGATGCTCAAGCTGCTCTCAAGATCTGTGGGTAGGTTATCTCCTCCATTTCTTTGTTCTGAGAATATGCCTTTTATAAGAGTTAGTACCACATACTCTTAAACCAGGACTCTGCTAAACCCTCTGTTGAATGAAAGTAGAATCAAAACACTAATTTCAAAAATTTTGTAGAATTCCCTGCTAAAAACCAATACTTTCAGTTCTTCTCTGAGGCTTCTACTAGGAATATACACTTGTCTACAAGAAGAACAGGTAGCCAAACAGTCATTAGCAGCCAATTCAGGATGCCTGTAATATTTAGAGAACAAGTATAAACACACTAATTCAATTTTCATCTAGCTGAAGATTTCTTTCTAGCTCTAGCTTTTTAAAGACATATACTGAAAGGAACTGTTAAACCCCAAATTTCAAGAGGGTTCTCTGTATTTATTCTTTTATTTGCTATGAAATTGCAGCAATTCTTTCTTTATTCTTGAGGGTGAATTTTAATGTCATAGGCTACTTCAGTTACAACTAATATCACAAGAAATTTCTCAAGAGAAGGGAAGGAACTGGGTTTATTAAACAGTTCAAGTATGCTCAGCTTAGGCATGTATTTTCAAATAAAAAAAAAAATCTATTTGTGATTTAGAGGAAGTCTATTCAATGGGAAGATGAACACATCAATAGCTGTCTTAAAAATAGCATCACCTGAAAAAAGTAAATTGATAATTATGCTCTCCTTACTGGACCATAACAACACAACTGCCAAACAGACTAACATCAGTAACTGACCTGGTCCAAAAGGCAAATTATTGCTTCTGGTAGTAGCCCTTTCCAGATGTTTACAGATCAAACAGTTTTTAAGTATAAAACAGTGGTTTGACACTTATAAACCTAAGATCCAACTACATTCATTCATGTTTTCATTCATAAACTGCTCCTCTGGCAGTGGAAGCAGCATACAGCAATGTGATAGCCTTGAGATAAAGACAGCAGAGTGTTCTAACAGTGATGCCATAGGCTGTTCTGCAAGACAGACCTTGACTTTCTTCTTGAAGGGGAATCTTTGTACAAGAAATAATTCAAATGCTGTTTAGGAAAAAAAAGTATGGCACTGTCTTTTCCTTAGCAGTTTGATAACTCAGCTGTGAAATTAGATGACTGTGCTAAAAAAAAACCCAGAGCAGAACTGGTTTTGCTCAAAGCAAGTGCACTCTTCTTGCAACTCAGCATTCAGCCATCAGCCTAGCCCTAAAAGCACCTTTCTCAGCTTAGGTCTCTGTTTGGTACTTCTTCACTATTATATAAGAACTGTTTGATGATGGATACACAAGACCAAACATAAGGCAACAAAACTCCCTGAAGTATCGGAGATTATATTAAGAATCCTACAACGAACAATCATGGAGTAGCCTCTCACCGTGTACTATTCGAAGTGTTTTAAATCTCTGTGGGGAAAAATAATGCTAATTAGTAGGTTGTTATTTTTAAAACATCCAAGAATTTTTGGATTCTCTCATTTCTTGAGCATACTTTGTTCTACTGCCAAATACATACAAGTTTAATGGAGCACTATACAGAATACATGGTCCTTCAATTTAATAGACTTATTAGATTTCTAGGATCTTAAGAAAAAAAGAGCCCTCTTTTTTTTTATTTATTTGCCATCTACTATGTTGCATACCTACACATCTATTATCTTATTCATTATAACTTGCAGTTAAAGGGATCTACTTCCATTACATTTTCAGATATGGTCGTATTTTTATCCATCTGTTTCTGAACTCCTGTTTCTATTATTTTCTGAGACAAGTGTACTACTGAAGATATTTTTCCAAGAAAGCACACACCTTCAATTTATATTGCAATGCTATTATCAAACCCATTCTTTTATAAACTTGGAAATATTTTTATTTTTCACTGACACTGATGATTAAAAGGACTTCCACTCACATATCCTTTTCAGCTACCTTCAACATATGTAGCAGTAAACTTAAAACCCAGTCACATGAAACAACAGCACATAATTCCTGCCAACACACTCACTGCACTGTGTTTATCAATAATTAATTTATCATAATATTAATTCACTTTCTCCCTCCCCTTTAGATTCTTCCGTTCCTCAGAACTTACTCTCTTCCTGACTAATCAGTGACAGTGGCAGATTTTGCTTATTTACCAATAATACCTTTTCCAGATAACTTCCAGATGTAATGTAAATCTTAAGAAAGTAGATCAAGGAAAATCTTAAAAGCAGGAAAAAACAAACTTCTGTTTTCAGTGTTTGCTTTTGTATCTTAATCAAGACTTGATTCATGACAGCATAATTTCTCAGTTACCTTCCACAAGGGACATTTCAAAACTCACACACTTCAGTAGTCTGGAAAACTGTACTAATCAGTTCTCATTTATCTGTTATCTTCTGCAAAGAATCTTCTAAGGCTAGAGTAAAATTTCCTGCTATGTAGTTACTAGTACTGGTATCCTTAATTTTACATTCTATTCCACACTATATTTTATAATATACTTCTAAATTAATATTTCAATCAATATCACTGTAATCCATTTATCCAAAATGTCTAAGATTACACTATTTGCCATTTTCTCCTCAGAAATAGTGAATTATTTAAGAATCACAGAATCATTTAGTGTGGAAGGGCTGTCACATGGTCACCCTGTGCAATTTCCTGTTCAAAGTGAAGTCAACAGTGAATTCAGACCAATTTGCCCAGGACTTTTCCAGTTGGATCCTGAAAACCTCCAAAACCTCCAAGGAATGTAAAAAACCTTATGGGCAACCTGTCCCAATGCCTCACTACCCCCATTTCCTTGTTTGGAATTGGAAGTTCTAACTTGTGCTGTCTCTCATTCCCCCTCAAAGCATCTGACTACAAAGACTAGCTCTATCTTTTCAAAAACCTCCTTAGATTTATAAAGGCTTCCATTAGGTCCCCTTAAGCCCCTGGCAGATGGCATCCAACACTTCCTTCACCTTCAGATCTAGCTATTTTGCCACAGGGGACAAGCCAGGTAGTCAGGCACGACTTATCCTTGGTAGATCTCGAGATGGCTATCCCTAGTCTCCACCTGCTCCTCCTTATGCCTACAAATGGCCTCCTCCATGATCTTTCCAGATGGAAGCAGCAAGGCCTGTAGTTGTCTTCCTAGTCCCTCTTGCCCTTTTTGAAGATGAGCATAAAATTTGCCTTTCTCCAGTCTCTGGGATCTCCCCAGTCTCATGGCCTTTAAAAGATGACAAAAAGCAGCTCTGTGAAGATGGACCTGAAGATGGTGTTTCAACACGTGCCATTGCTCATTGGTTTCAGTCACTGGCAAATTGAGTTTACCTCCACTACTGTTTTCACCTTTCCTTAATCCAGTGTATACTGAAACTCATCAAGCTCACAAATTCCTGGGTATCATCCTCCCGGAATCTTCTTGGTGACAAAATCAAACCTTAGTTAAAATGGAATTTCTGAAATAGTTACACCAAAGCCACAACACGACCCTCTGCAACCTACTTGCTGCAAATCTCTACCTGAGATTTCCCTTTAGGAATGCACAAAACGCCTCTCCCCTGAAAGCAATGTTTAAGATAATAAAATGTTTAAGATAATAAAAAGCCACCCACCCTCCTGCCCCCGTTACCGCCCTGCACCGAGTTGCTCAGGGCAGCGGCTCCGGACGTGCCCTGTGCCCGGGAGGGACCATCCTGGCACCCACCGGGACAGCGCGGCGGCCGCCGCCCCTCCCAGCCCCATAGGAGACCCACAGCTCACCCCGGGTCCGAGGGTAAAGAGAAGAAAAAAGGGGGGGGGGCGAAAGAGGACGCAGCAAAAAAAAAATCTGACTAAAGGCCCACACAAACCGCCGCTTACTTACTCCTTAAACCCAAAACAGAATGTCCCCGCTCATAAAAATGACATATGCCGACGAAAAACAAAAGCCGAGGAAACAAGAAAAAGAACGTATTACGAAGAAAAAAAACGACAATATTCCTCCCTGAAGCCTCCCAAACTCCCCCTTCCTCTTCCCAAACACCTTCTCCACCGTTTTCCTCCTTCCCAAACCCTTCTTCCTCCCTCTTCCCAAGCCCTTTCTTCCTCCTCCCAAACCCCTCTTCCTCCTTCCCAAACCCTCCTCCTCCTACCAAACCCCTTCTTCCCCTCCTAAACCCCTTCTTCCCCTCCTAAACCCCTTCTTCCCCTCCCAAACCCCTTCTTCCGCCCCCCAAACCCCTTCTTTCTCTTCCTCCTCCCCAAACCCCCCTTTCTTTCTCCCAAGCCACTCTTTCCTCCTCCCAAACCCCCTCTTCCCCTCTTTCTTCTGCCAGACCCCCTCTTCCCGATCCCCGCAGAGCCGCCCGCTGGGGTCTCACCGGAGGCGAGGAGGAGGAGGAAGAGGAGGAAGGCGCACAGGCGGGTCCGCCGCCACGCCGGTCCCCCCGCGCCCCGAGGCCGGCGGGCGGCAGTTCCGGGCGGTGCGCGGGGCCGGGGCAGGAAGGGGCGGAGCCGGGGCGGACGCGTCCGGGCCGGGTAAGGAAAATAGACCGAAAAGAGGGAAAGCGGTCGGGCTTAAATCCCTGGGTCCGGTTTTGGTGGGGTGGCAGAGCGCTGAGAGGAGCTGGGAGCAGAGGTTTTGTGGAGCGGGTCTGTGAGGGAGTTCTAGCTTGGCCGTGTTGTTCTCTGCGACAGCCGAGTTCCAGCGCGCTGCCTCCCTGAGTTCTGGTTCTGTTGTTCGTAACCAGTGTCCTGCCTTCTTAAACCATCCACAACTTCCACTTTATTGGTAGACCTGTCTGAAGCTCTTCATGAAAAGCTTCTGGGCTCCCTCGCGGGTGCAGTGGTGGCTCTGGCCTCATACAGCAAATGGATCGTCTGAATAGAAATATATTCTCCAAAGTTATGTGTCTTAAGGCACACATATTGCTTTGCACTAATTTAAATATTTGTTGCGTTTTTAAATGACATTATATTGAGCGTTTCTCAAGCCTTAATGCATCTGCTTTAGCAAAAGTTCTGTGTTACCCTGTAGTAATCATCAAATGAATGATATCTTTTTCATTCTGAAAGGAAGAGGATGCTTATATACTTACTTATTAATTTTGAATTTTTTAGTTTTTCATTTTCACAGGAAAAGCTTGTTTTTAAAGCAGTTATTTTCTTTATTACGTTGTTAACACAGCAGCTGAGTGAAACTAATTAATCTGTTGTTTAGTGCATGTTGAAAGGAAGAGGAAATGGTAAAAACCGGTACAGTTAGCGAACATTATACTTACATAGTGTTTATTGCTTTAAATAGCCACGGTGACTTTTATACCAAAGGTAGACAACATTATTTATCTTGTCTTTACGTTATTGTGCAAATCCTGTATTGATCATTGCTTCTCGTTTCCCCTCTTTCAGATAGTGGCTATTGTAAATAAGACCAGTAGAGTAAAAAGCCACCTCTTCCCACAGAATTTATAGTCTAATTAGAGAAAAAAGTGCTGGGAAAAACGTTTTGAGCAAATAGTGCAAGGTCTGTGTCTGCTTTTGTCTTAGTAAGCTGCCAAGGGATTAATCAATGTATCACATTTAATGGAAGGGTAGCAGTTAAGTGAAAACACTGTAATGAGAACAGGCAGCCAGGTAGGCTATTGAGACGAAAGGCTGTCCATATATTCACAAGGAAGGTAGACTCTGCAGAGCCAAAACAGTGTGGAAAACCACCTGTCTTGGGAACAAAAAATATAGGGAACAACTTTGTAAATGTCATTGCTTAGAGTCAAGATGTTAGGAGGAATTCTCTGAAGTAAAATATGGGAGAGGGGTAGGATATGGCAGTGTAAGGGTGTAGAGTTTGGTTGAGGTGACAATTCAAGGTGGCCTTATCTTCTCACAGGAAACAATACAGAAACACAGGTAAAGTCACTTATAGACAGAACTCCTGGGCAGATTAATATAGTTTCTCTTCTGTGAGAGACTTGAGAATAAAATTAGCCTGACTGTAATTTTCATTGTCACAGACTGGCCTTAGAAAAACCCAAAATCTCACAACCAACCAAACAACAAATCCTTTAAGAAAAATGTTTAATTTTTAGGTTTTCCTGTGTGACAGTGAACTAAAAATTCTCTTTGTGCTTCTATTTTTTCACATGTATAATGGTAACACAGGAAACTTGCACCTTGCAAGGCTTTTTGGGAGACATTCAGTTACTGTTGTGATGAAGGGACATGGAGGTTTTTACAACCAGCAATACAAATAAATACAGACTGAATGCTTTGCTATTCTAATGAAATATGTAAGGAGGTCATGACAGAAGCCCATTTTGTTAAAATTACTTTTTAAAGTTCTTGTGGAAATTAAAGTATTAATTAATTGAAGTATTAGCTCTGTTGATGTTTTAAAGCTCAATGCAAAAAGCAGAGTGTGGGGTTCCAGTGCTTGCTCTCCTTACCTTTTAAAGTTTGTTCTCCTGGTCTGAAAAGCATGTAACTTTAAACATCCCTGTAGTTGATATTTCCTGTTCTTTGGGGCTTTGGGAAGAAAAAATGTAGTAGGATAGTGTATGAGAAGAATTTAGGACTATATTTTAAAGTAGTGGAAGAGTATATTGCAAAGATGCCTTCAGGTCTGGTACCATAAGAACTTGCAGGATCAGGGCCTTTAGCTGAGAGAGATCTGATTGCCCATACAAACCAAAATGAATTGCCGTCATATAAATGATAAGAGATTAATTTGTCCAGGTCTGGAAATCGTTTGTGTATGTAAGTACCTATTCTCAGATTTAAGCCTGATATTGTGAAATGTGCCATGTTCTTAATTCTCCCTGAAAACCAAAGAAATGAGACATTTGTATTTTTGCTAGGAGAGCTGGAGTTGTCACCTCCTCTGGAATCTTTTCCACTGTTAAGTGTAAGATACTAGTTGCTTGCACTTTTTTTTTAGAACTTAGCAATTTGCAGTTTGTTTTTATTTGGTTCAGAATTACTAAATGGAATAATTAATTGTTGTTGTATTGATACTGTCACTGTTTATGTGATTCCTTAAAAAAAGAAATTCTCATAATATTGACCATAATACTAATCTTTGGATTTTCCCTTACTCCTCCTGTGTAAGGAGAGTTTAATTAACTGAAACAGCAGTCTTAGCTTAACCCTTCTTCTCTTCCTTCACCTTGAATTAAATCCATCTCTAAAATTTTTATGAGTGCTTTACTAAGTAGATCATAAATATCACTGTTTCTGTGTTCTTTTTGTCTTTGTAGAAGTTCATTTAGGTTCAGAAAAATAATTCAGTCTCTCTGTCATGTCATACTCAGCTCATGCTGCAGCTGAGTAGTGGTAAATGACTGTGTATATTTACAAAAGTTAGTCTGAGTTTTGAGGAGGTTAGTAACCACCCTCAAACTGTCTAGTGCAGCTGTCTCCCAGAGGTTCTCTCTTCAAGGCATTTGGAAGAACAGACCTTTGCTGAATGTACCTTTTCTTCAGTACAAAATCCAGAGCTTTACCTAAAATGGTTGAGAGAAGTAACTTGAAGTCACGATACTACAGACTAAATGAAATGGCCTGAATTCATATTCCCATTTTCTGACCCTGTAAAGAGAATGGAGTGGGTGGTTCTGGACTACATCTGCTTATCCTGCTTCAGCAAGATCCTAGTATTGGTTTATATGGTTTGCATGATTTTTGATAGTTTTATACCTGAGGATGAGAATGATTTAATTTGACCAGAAATATTTCAAACTTAAAGAATACAGGTGGATTAATAGGATAGCATCAGCTGTGTTTACTGGGTTGAATACAAAGCAGGACAAGGACCAACAAGTCCTTATTTCCAGTAAGTTACTGTCTCTGGGACTGTCTGACAGCTGCTGTCTGTTACTCATTGCTACTGAGTAGAAGTGATTTTGTTCAACAGATTGGAGGAGAATTCACACTGAGGCTGTTTACCCCTTCATCTACCAGTTTTCAAGCAGTAGTACCTCTACTTGGGCATCTTTTAAATACTTATGTTTTATTTTTACTCTAATGACACATTACCCTTTGTGGTGAGACAGTGCTTCAGAGCTGCTACTCTGGATGAAAGTGGGCGAGGGTCAGTGTACCTGTTGAGAGTACCTATGTGGTGAAAAGATTAATGTTTTATTTGGGCAGTCCTGAGTGATGGATGTAGAATGATTTGTAACAACAGGATAGTTGGAATAGTTGGAAATAGTAGAATAGTTGGAAAACGTAGAATAATATACTTTGGAAATAGAAACCTTATCAGAATTTACCAATGTATTTATCAGTTTTATATAGCATGATAATGACCAAAATAACTGATTGTGTCCAGTAAGGTCAACCAGAAGAAAACATTCATCACTGAAGTGATTGGTAAGATATATGTGTATGTCTGAGTGGCCAGAGTGGCCAGGAAAAGATGGGCTTGTGTGCTTCTTGAGTTCCCATGGAAAATAAAAATAATAACCCAAATGCATATGAGGGTACTTTTTAATGTTGAAAGTAGTACTGTAGTCAAGAATAGGAGTTTAAGTGCTGATGACTATGGATTTAACAGGTAAGACTAACTCTTCTGACTTGCCTCCTTAGCAGTGCCTTCACTAAGTAATTTCTGCCACAGAGCTGTACTTGGGATATTGAGTCTGTCTTGACTTACGTGCTGTCAAGATTTATCCAACTTAAATAGCTTCTGGGAAAGTAGGTATTTCATTATGTATTGTCTTGTTCTTTGTGTGGCAGGTGTACTAATTAAAGAAAAGCAACAGTACTCATAGTAGAGCCACTGTTCTTCTGAGACAATAGCTTGTCATGTAATAGTTTAAAAATACTTTGCTATAACAGTCATTAGTATGATCTTAGTGTCAGGTGGATGTGGTTTTATTCTTCCACTGCCTTCTTTTAGGCAGTTGATTTGGCCCCGTGATAGATAATATGAAGTAGTAAATTTGATGTACTTGTCTACATGAAGAAAAAATAATCACATAATCAGCATATATCAAATGAAAACCGTTTTTTTGCTTTTTAAATAATTCCATCATATTCATGTAATTGCACAAAGACCTTATTAATCCAGACAGTTATTTGAAAGACTCATGTTTTTCCAGCATCAGTGTCACTGATGCTTTGTGTATAAAAAACATTCTGGCCTTCCTTAGCAACATTTAAATTTCTTCGTCTTACTGCACTAGAGGTGTCGTCTGTACCGCTTGCTGTAAGAGCCCCATCTAGTGTCTAAGGCTTTTCAATGCAAGCTGTGATTTGTAGGTTAATGGGCAATTCCACTGAGGAATGGAGCATTAAAATTATTGCATCAGTGCTTTATGTTAAACTGGTATGGAATATTGTAATAGGAAAAATGTAGTTTTTCCACCCACAATGAGGAAAATTAATTTTAGCTTTTAATATATTGAGAAGATATTAATTTCAGCTATGCTACTGTCGTATTCAACTGCTTAAAGTAGTTGGGTGCTTGAGGTGTTCATGTAGCATTCATGAAAGAAATGTGTATTTTCCTATGTGTCCTTCAGTTATTATGTCACCAGGCTCTAGATTAATTTTTAATACAGAAACCAATATTACTTCCCATGGCCTAAATACCCTCTATAAATGCCTTTTAGCAGTTACAGAAAGACAGGTGTGTGTATTACAGAACTGACTGTTGTAGATGTGTGCTTAGGAACTTGCTTTTTCAATAATACATGGTTAATGTTGTGGGAGATTTTGAGTCAAAAAAACCCCAAAAAACCTTGCTATAAAATGTTTATGCACTTAAAAATTGAAAACGTTTTCTTGTTTGTTTTGTTTGATGTCAGAAATATGCTAAAACGTAAAAAAATAAAGTACACAAATACTTTTCCTATCCATGATCTGTATGTGAAGAGACAATGTATATGTGAAACTGGTCTTTTCTCTCAAAAAGGGTCTGCGGTCCAAATATACAGGCAGGATGTCTGTCTGTAGTAGTGTCTTATGTTAAAATCAGTAGTAGCAGATAGTGGAAGAACCAGTGTTTTAAACCTTTTTTTGTTCTAAGTTCTGTATTCTTTTATGAATGTCGTGCTCTGATTTCTATTTCAGGAACTTCAACTCAGGAGGAAGATGAAAGATTGCGTCACTGAAGAACATTTATATTTGGCTTTTTCTCATCAGTACAGAGAGAGTATCTTTCCTCTTCATACATCTGTCTCCCTGTTTTTGCTATCCTACTGTGACTGCAAATTATTTAAAATTTTCTTAGTGCCAACTGGCGAAGATGTGGGTGATCAGTGTGTGACGAAAAACCTCCCTGGCGATCTTGAGGTGCATTTAATCTCCAGGTGTCAGCTTCCAGAGGTTGTGCGGAGCTGCAGTTTACCTGCAGTTGTCGTGAAAGATGGCAAATTCTGCCGAGCTGGGCTTTCTGTTGTCTTAAGACATATAATACAGAAAACGTACGAGGCAGATCCATCTAAAAAGGATGTTTTGGAACTCTTGGGCTTTAAGAAGACTTGCTTAAAAGCTTGTGCTGAAGTGAGTGCCTTTCTTTCTCTTAGATACATTAAAATTTCTTTTTTATTAGCATTAAATACTCTGAAGTAGACTCTTAATATTGATGTAAACTAACTTCTTTTAGTGAGAAATTAAATTTGCTTAGAAAATGAAATTTCCTTAATGGAGAAATATCTGTACTTTGGCATAAAGATGAAAATAATTATTTTCGAAGATACTACTTAGCAGCACAAAAACCCCTTAAAATTCAAAAAGTATGTTAGATCTCTGTTTCATGACTAGCAGTATAAATGAGTTCTAAAGTTTGAAGTAAACTAAAAACTATCTAATTTATTTTTACTTTTGATTTCAAGAGCACCATAATACTGTTAGCCTTCACTGCCAGGGTGCACAGCTGGCTTATGTTTAGCTTATCCTCGTCAGGTTGTCCACTGACTTTTCAGCAGAGTGGCTAACATGGCCAGGCGGCCAGTCCCTAGCCTGTACATTCCAGGAGTTTAGTCCCTCCTAGGTGTGGAATATTCTATTCCTGTCAGCCCATTCTCTAGCCTGTGCAGGCCCACGTGAAAAGCAGCTCTTTCATGGAGTTTGTTGACTGCTCTGCTCAACTCACTGTTGTCCTTGATGTGAGTGTAATCCATCACCCCCCTCCAGGTAAAGATGATCAAATAGGATAGGCCCCAGCATAGACCCTTGAAGATTTCCACTGCTAACTGACCTTCAGGTAGCATGTGAACCATTAACCAACACTACCCTTTGAGTTGAGATTTCAGTCTATTTATCACATAGCAGTTTACTCGTCTGACAGCTCATCCATCTAGACTTGCCTTCCTCGCTCTCTCAGGAGGTTGAGCTCCAGCCTGTCAGGATTGCTACATCCATGGTTGCCACTGATTACTGTGTCTCCAACCTGGTTCATCCCTGTTGGTGTGTAGCAGATCTGGAGGAGCACATCTCTGTGTCAGTGCACACAGTGCTTGTGTAAAGATGCCGTCCCTGACATCCTCCAGAAACCTCTGTAATCTTTTGGAACTGCTGGAGAGCTTCATTCTGTATTTCAGAGAGCTGCAAAGTGAGTGAACAGAATAAGAAAAGAAAAGAGTTTAAAAATTGTAAAACCTTTAAGTACAGGTAATAAGAAAAAGAGGACAAGGATAACAGCATCAAAAAAAAAAGTCATTTTTTTGAAGTACTGTTCAGTTAGGCAAAAGTTTTTTTTGATGTTGCATTTTAAAAACACACTAATAATATAATGCATTTCTGAAAATAAATGTGCTCAAAATCTGTTTGCAGTAATTGGATCTTATTACCACCATTTGTAGAGATGACATATAGAAATTGATCACAGCTTTGCTTGTCATGAATTATGCAGCCACCCTAATATTACGTCAATAATAAGGAATAAAAATATGCTATACTGGATAACTGTTCATTCTGTTATATATAAGGTTTAGCTTCCTAATTCTGCTGTAGCAAAAGTAATAGAGAATATCTGAGTTTCTAAGATTAACAAAGAAATCTGGAATTTCTTTCCTTAAAGTGAATGAAAATGTATCCTGGATTTTGTTTCTCTTTCTGTAGAGACATTAATTACATAAATTTATTTGACAGGTTAGCCAGTGGACCAGACTTTGTGAGATCAGCATTCCTCTGGCTGTGGAAAGGTTTTTGATGGCATCTCCTGAGCACTGTCAGGCTATTCCTCCTGACATTTTACAGTTTGAAAGGAAGCTTGGAGAACCTGTCCGAGTACATAATGATGACAAAATTCGTAGGCAAAAACTTCAACAGCAGAAGACAGGTACCAAGGCTGCAGTGCCCATACTTGGTGAAGAAGCAGAAAGGGAATTAAAAGCAGGGGAAGTGCATGAGCATCCACCCCCAAGTTTGGAACTGAGTTTAGCTTTCTCCAAGCTACTTGTCCAGGAAGCATCAGATGCAGTCAACAGAGAGGCCTCCCACATCAGGAGAACAAAAACTTCTGACCTTCCGCTGTTGGACCACATCTTTGCAGAAGGGCTTTATTTTACTGTGGCAGATATAGTGCTATTGCCATGCATCCATCAGTTCTTGGTAAGATGACGAATTCTGCAAATATTAACTAGTGTGTTTGTATGTTTTTTAAGAATTTGAAAGTTGTAAAATATGTTATTTAAAACATATTATGGCATTTACAGTGTGACCTTAACCCAAAACAGAGGATATGTCTTTGCTTTTGTACAAACACAAAAACCAGGGATTGGTGAGTTTACTTTTAAATACGTAGCATATAAATACTTAGTAAACACCATTAGCTGTTAAAATATTATACTGAAATATTTTGGTACCAAGTTGCCCAGAAAATAGTAATTTTAGAATGCTGGTACAAGTGACTTGAGCTCAACTTCAAAGCCAGTTCTGGAGTGGGAAAAACTTCTGAGGCAAGACTGTGCAAGAGTCTTGCTCAGCACAATCTGTGTACTTAGTTTTGTAAGGATATACACACAGGAATGATTTAAGGAAATGATAGCTATGTCTTTATTTCCCATTACAATGAAATGATACAGTGAATTTGCCTGCTACCAGCATTCCTGCAGTTATGCTGTGAGATTTATAGCTAAGCTGGTGTCTCTTGCCAGGAAGAGCTCTGAGTGAGGTTGGTATTGACATTTTGATTTTGCAAGTTGCTTTGCCAAATTTGCCTTATGGTGTTCGAAAACAAAGGGAATTCCTGGAGAAGATGCTGCTAGTCAGATTGAGAGAAACAATCTCTAAAATCAAGATAGGAGGGCCTATCGAACATTAATAGTGTGATAAATATCCACTTTATAACTTCTTTAGCCAATATCATAATCCTCAGTGTATTGATGATAGCAATACTGGAGTGCAGAAGTAGGTTAATATGGCTGCCTCTGAATTAGGATGATGAATTATTTTACAGAAATGGTTCTTAATTCACATCTGCTTTGTTTGTTTTGTGAATCACATAATTGAAGATGAACGGCAACTTCTGCATTCATGATACTAAACAAAAGTATTAAGACAAAATGCTTTCCTACTATTTAAAAATCTTTAAAGTATTTCAATCTTTGTTTTTCCAAGACCTTTTTAAATAAGAAGACCATAACTTTTTATAGTAATTTTTTGATTTACTGATGCTGGGCATGAGAAGATTCTTGGATCAGATGCTTAATTGATTTCAGCAATGCAATTGAGATTGTTCTGTAGATGTACTGTGAGCAGCTGAGAATGATGTATTTATTTACTTAGTGTGTGTGACCCTTAAACCCTGGTCAGCAGCTTATGAACTATATATTTTATAATACACTTGTGTAGATCATGCCAAGGATTGCCCTAAAAACCTGGCTTTCAGTTTCATTTTTATCTGAATTACAAGAGCTCTCAGGTAATGTTACTTTATTTCTCTTCTCTGATAAGTGATCATTTTCTAAGAAATTGTACCTTGATTCCTACAGTTATCATTGAAATTGAGTAACGTGCATCTGAAAGCTTCTTGCAAGCAGTGAGTTGAAATTGCTCTTGTTGATGGAAGTGCCAGAGTTTAATTCCTTATTAAAGTGTTATTTGTCACTTGTATAACTGGACTTCCTGGATTGTGTTTAAAAAAATCACTATAGTTGCATTTCCACTGATTTAAGGGTGTGAATAATAATGAAGTCTTCAGTGAGTATGTGTCTGGAAAGTAACACACCGTAAGTGTGAGCGGACCTGACTAGCTGATTGTAATTATAATTACCAAAAGTAAGATAATGAAGCTGAAGAGTTGTTTTTCATTACCTCGTTCCAATTCAGTTATCTTCCTGAGGTTAGCTTTGGTACACTTTCTGTTAGTTGTAACTGTTGAAAATTAATAAAAGTGTAAGAGAAGCTCAGTTCTCCATCTGGCAGAAACCACTCTTCAGTTTTTAAAATACAATTTAGAACACTTGATAACAAGTGTAACAGTGCCTCTTAGAATTGCTTTCCAAAAGACTTCTTTCTTAACTGAATTATTGTATCTTTGCCTGTGTTACTATTAGGGTATTAAATTAGATGCTTAAAATCACACAGTTCATCCTTCCTTTGCTCCTTTAGCTATTGCTAATTACTTTTGATTATCCTAAGCATGTTATAAACAGCATGCAAGAGAGCTGCTTGAAATTTCACGTCATTTCAAGTGTTCTTTACCAATTTCTACTTCCATACTGCGGACAGATACGTGGAGGAATGCTGCTTTTGCATGGCCTTTTCTGCCTTTTCCTGTAATCATGATTTTTAATTTTATGTTTAAAGCAGGCACACCATCACAAAGTAGTTCAGGTTGGAATAATTGAGGTTGGAGGGCACCTCTGGAGCTCATCTTGTCTAAGCCCCCTGCTTAAAGAAGGGTCAGCTAGAGCCAGTTGCCCAGGATCATGTCCAGTCATATTTTGAGTGTGTTTCAAAGGATGGAGACTTCACAACCTCTCCTGTTAAGAGGATGATCTTCATTGTTTTGAAAAATTTGGGAGTCTAAAGAAAGTGATTTAATTTCATCAAATGCATCCTTTTTAAAAGTAACTGGACTTCATGTAAATTGTGATGTGGTGTAATTTTTTTAATATGTGCAACATATTCTTACTAAAGAAATTTTTTATTTTATTTTTTACACTTAAAATTCTAATTTCTATTAAAGGCCACATCAATTCATAATCATATACGCTTAATTCACAAAAGAAACATACTGGTTACCATTATTGTATAAAATATGTAATGAAGATTGTAAAATAGTCTGAATAAATATATGACTTTTAAAAAAAGAAATAAATTTGATTCACTACTACTAGAAAAAGTTGCAGATGTAGTGAAAAGACTTCAGTAAAGAAGGAGGATAATGTATGCCTGTTTCTGTTTTGCTGTTGCCACATAGTGTAAGGTATTTCAGGCTTGCTGAGCTTTTAAGAACTTCAGGCTACTTGTGGGAAAGAACAACATTCAGATGGTCTTGCTTAGAGTTCAGTATTCATGGCAAATTACTGCAGTGTTTTTTTTCTCTGACTACCAACCAAAATGAATCATTCCTATATTAGGAAATGGCATGCAGTTAAGAACATTATTTAAATTGAACTTTTTTGTTGCTGATTGAAATTATGAATGACATTGGTCATGTAAATCTTTTCATCCTATTAAGCAAACAGGGATTGCAGATAAAGTCTAAATGGCCAACTGGCAATTCTACCTGCAGTTTTATTACCATCATACTATGAATACACATGCCTGGCATGGAGCTGAGGTCACTTCTGTAGTTCATGCCTTCTAGTGGCTTGTAGGAAGAAACCCTCCCATTTTATTTTTTTTAGGTTTCCAGCAAGAAACAAGGCAGAAACCTGGTAAATTTACCACTGATATCCACTTGGTATCGAAGAGTTCAAGAAGTACCTGGAGTAAAGAAAGCTGCTGGCAAATGCAATATGGAGCTTCTCCAGCTTCCAGAGTTGATGTCTGCTCCAGAGGAACAGGCACAGGACTTCTCTTCAGTTCCTGATGAGTTAGAAGAGGAGAACGAAGACAGTCATTTTATAGGTGGTCCAAGGCCAACTATGACTAAGTTAATGGTAATTTAAGCTTTTTAATGAGTTATCTTTAGTAGCAATATTCTGCTTGATTTTTAGTAAGTAAAAGTTTATTGGAATTGTAGAAGCTAATTCTGACAGCCTTGAACAGTTTAATACATCTTGCTTTTCTTATATCTGATATGCATTAACTTAGAATTGATTTTACTTTTTCTTTCTCTTTTGATATTTGATCAACTCAGGAATTGAGGAAAGATAGGACTGCTGAAAGCCCTGTCAATATTTCAGAATAATCAAAGTAACTTTTTGTTTGCATTTTCATATTGTATTCATCTTTTAAAGATATTTAGGTAAAGGATGACAAAAAACCCTGTTGCTTTTATGTTTGGCTTCATTATTCAACTCTTACTGTTTGGGTTTTTTTTGCTATTTGTTAGAACTTTGAACATCTGGGAACTCTGTAATGAGTTTTGTTAAAGAAAACTGTCCATCATGTTCCATAACTCTCAGTATTTTTTGCATAGAGGTTGACAGCATTTCCTAAAAAATTAACAGGACTTTCTTGTGAAAATGAGAGAAATACATAATTTGAATCTCATATAATTTGACTCCCATATAATGTAGAGTCATTTGACTCTCATATAATGTAGAGTCATCTGCCTGTTTAGTTTCAGTTAGGCTGAAGGTGGTGTTGTTGATCTGATGCCATTAAATTCAGTGAGAATTTTGATACCAACTTTAGTGGTAAAGGATCAGGGTCTTAACTTATTTTTTTCTTACTTTCATGTAGGAAAATGGAATTGAAGCAAAGTTTTTTCCACATCCATGCCCCAACTGGACCCTAGACTGGACCAGTCTACCGTCTGCAGTCAGTCCTGGGGAAGGTAAGGGGTTTTATGTACGTGTGTGCATATTTAACAGTGCCTTCTTCTGGTGAAGCCATTTAACTGTTTCCTAGGAAAATATGTCAATTAACAATGTGTTTCAGAGCTCTGTGGAACGGGTAAGCAATTTTAAATCTGTTCTAAAATTCAGTCTGTTTCTGACACATGGTGACATGACTTCCCTCACAGGTCATCAACAGCTGATGACCAAACTGGGAATAAAAAATTGACCTTGAATTCTGAACCGTATTTTTCCCCACTGTTTCCTACTTTCCTAAACTCTTCTTTATACCTAGAATAGTCAACTACATTATGTTAATGTCATTGGCACAAAAGTTGTACATGGACTGTGTCTCCCAAAGCAGCAGATGATGATTTTATTGTGATGAAAATAATAGTAATTAGCAAAGTTTGGTAGCTACATACTGAGTGGCACTTTTCCCTGCCCTGTAGGGACAGTTTGCTTTGCTGGATTGCAGGGCAGTTGCCCAAGGGCTGTGGTTCTACAGAAAAAAAACAACCTGATTTACCACAACATTTATTGTTTTCATCACCGTTGTGAAAATTGAATACCTCTTCCACCGTACTGTAGAGTGTCCTCTAAAATGTCTTATGCATGATGCGTGGTATACTTTCTTTGCTCACAATTTGTGTTATATGTATGTAGAAGTTCTGGGATTGAATGATTTAGTCTGTTTGTAAGTCTAATTAGACCACCTTGCTGTCACAGCTATTTACTACAGAAAAGAATTACAGATGATTGCAGTTTTAACGTATTATTTAGATTATACATTTAAGATGGTTCAGTTTTTTTGATGAGGATTATTTACTGTTGCAAAACTAAAGATTTTCACATCATGACTTGCATTTCATTTGCTTAGTCATATTTCTGAAGCAGAATGAGATAGAATAGAATAGACTATTTCAGTTTGAAGGGGCCTGTAATGATTGTCAAGGCCAACTGCCATACCACTTCAGGGCTGACCAAGTTAAATTAGGTTGTTGTTAAGGCATTGCCCAAATGCCTCTTAAACTGGCAGGCCTGAGGCGTCACCACCTCTCTAGGAAGCCTCTTTCTTTCTTTGACCACCCTCTCAGTAATGAAATGCTTCCTAATGTCCAGTCTATACCTTCCTTGGTGCAGCTTTGAACCACTTCCATGTACAAACCTCTGTTAGTTCTAGTCCTGATGCAATTTATAAAAGGTATGTGATTGACCAAAATGGAGTCATGTTTATATTTTAGATATCCTCCAACTTTTTAAATTTCTGCTGTTACTTCCAAAATGTATGGCTTGTACAGTTGTGTGTATTGAGACGTGAATCTATAAGCCTCTGTGAGCATCTGGACTGTATTTGAAAGAATATATCCCATCATATAGTATCTTCATGCCTTCTGTAACTGTTGATGTTCTAGGATATTGTAGTTGTTGAGTTGTTCTTACAAACTTTCCCATTTTAAAGGAATCTAACACAAAATATTTCATTTATTTAAAAATGTATTGTAAATGCTGTTTTCTCTTCTAGTTGACTGTATAAAAACTTGGCCAGTACTTTATTTTTCCAAATCTATGTTTAGGTCAGAAATATGTTGTTATTGTTTATTAAATACAGAAGCCAACATACCTCAGCACTTTGTTGTTTCTTCCAAATCACGTAGTGTGTAAAGACTTATCCCCAAGCACACAAATCAAGTCTCTCTGGCTAAATATATATCTTGATATTGAAAAAGTAATTTATGTAAAATCTCAAAAGAATTTCTAAGGTATGTTAGAGGCAAATGCCTGTACGCCATTAATATATTTATTGAAATACTTACTTGCAATAAATACTTCAGTTGGCGGTAGACACAATCCAAGAGTTCTAACCAAACTCAGTACTTGGTTGTGTCGAGTTTTCCATAGAAGTAAAGGTACATGTTGTTGTCAATATGTACAAACAATAAAAAGAGGGTGGAAGGTCAGAATGTGTAAAATAGGTGGTCACAGGAAAGGAGGGAAAGAGAGATAGAGAAAATGAGACAGAAGGAAAATGAGATACATCAGTACAAGGAAATAATTGCACGTGTTTTCACCTTTTTCCCTGGCAAGGCAGTGGCTGAAATTTTGGGAAGAGGTGCTTGTTGAAATAAAAATGAATGGAAATAGTGTGCTACTGCTGATTAAATGTGAGGTCTGGGAAAGAGCGGATTATATTTAATTAGATTTGTGAGCAATAAAGAAATGCAACATCTTTTCTGTGGTTTCACTGTTCATATTAGGCAGCAGTAGAAAGAGGGTTTATAATCCTTTTTGGAACTTCAGTCAATTGTGCAGTCTTCGCTTGTGTTCCTGGCCCTAAGTGTATGAAATCATTCGTTGTCTTCAGGTTAATTTCCTACCAGCTGCAAAGACTTTGTGGATATTAAGATCAGTTTGACTGGTTATGATTAGGGGTGCTTCCTTTAGGCTCACCCAAAGCACATTAAAGGGAGTGGGAAAGTGTGTCAATGTGGGGTTGGACAGTGATAACCCTTGTCACTGCTTTATTATTCTGATGATATATGGAGTCTTTGGTACTGTCATGTTTTTTCATCAAACATTGTGTTCATTGTGAAACAAAAAAAGAAAGATTTTTTTCACAGGAATCTATTTTTTTCTCTAAAACAGCTTTTTATTTATTGGTGTGAAATTCAAGAATGAGAAATAACTGAACCTCAGTTTCAAAAACCCTTACTTCTTTTCTCACGAGTTGAAGTACTTGTTAAGCAGAAAGTACTTTATGTTCTTCATTTGTGGTATCTCGTTCTGAAATTAACCATCTAGACTGACAGTATGTATGTGGTGCTATTTACTTATGAAGGTAGTGGTTAGTTGTGAACAAATTTATGCTATTCTTTCCAAAGAAACTGCTCACAGAATGAATGTAGCAAGTAGGAAACTACATTCTGTGAGCTTGTAGATGATGCTCTCTTCCTCCTGAAAATATTTTTTCTTGAATGAAGGCATTATAGTAGGTCAGAAAAAGATCTCCTTAGCTGAACTATGGCTTACTGTCAGGTGAAACTGGAAAGACCACTGTGCTTGCACAGTAGGAGATAGAGGGGTCAGTTACAAAATATGTGAAGACTTTGAGGTGAAGGAAGTCTGTTTAAAAAACTGTAGGCAGATAAATAAAGTTAGATCAAAATAAGTGATTGCATTTTACTAATGCAGCTTGCTCTTACCAGTCAATGGAACACATGTAGCCCTTTAACTTTATGGTTTTAAACAAATTCAGTGGTTTGTAGATAAATACAGTTCCAATGAATCATGTCAAGTATATAACATGCTTCAGTATTTTTAGTAAGAAATAGATTCCTAGTATTGAATTGACTGGGACAAGTGTTTTGACTTGTGGAGGTGAAATTTTCTGTGTGCAAATTTTAAAAAGCCCATATGGAAGATGGAAAGGCCTTACATGTTCTGTGTCCAGGACATAGGAAAGGGTGCTAATCCATTGCAAGGCAATGCATCCTTGCCTAGCTGAAGACAGAATGAATCTGATCAAGTTTGTTTGATTTATCCTTGCTTTGTGATCAGTAGCAAGTTCATGGCCAAATTAAATTGCTATATAAAGCTGTCACAGAAAGGTTGGCCTGAATAAAATGATACCCTGACTGATGCATGCCCCTTATTTGTATTCCAGTCTCCAGACTTTTGAGAAAGTTGCTAGGTTTTTTATGAAAAAGTTGCCTTTCTGTTGTCTTCTTTTTCTAAATAATTTATGTCAGCTGAGAATTTGTTCTTCTAGTGTGCATAACTTATGAATTAAGGCATCAGCTGATTTGTCTACAGTTGAGATAAGGTCTCTGGTCTTTCTTTGAAGCCTAAGTATACAAATAGTTGTGAGGCTATTTTTAACATTCATTTACCTGTTTAGTAGGGTGTTGTTTTGTAAAATGACTTCTCAGGTCCCCAAACTCTCCCCAGCTCCTCCTACCCTCCTACCTTTCCCAATAACTCTTATTTTCTTTTATCTGGTCAAGATCTGAAATACGAATCTAGTAATGCCTCTGTACTGTTTCTTTATATCAGTAACATTCTTTAGACTCATCAGTTCATACATTTTAAAGCTAGATAGATGGTATGATCATCTGTACCTGTCTCCTATCTGATTCTGGCTATAAGCTGAGTTTGTAATTGCTTGAATATTAATGTTTAAAAGATACCTGGTTGAAGGAAGAGTGGCAGGTTCACATTATGATTTTAGTTCTCCAGAATGGAGATTAAACTAGATGAAATTAGATATTAGAGACTTAATCTAGATAAACTAGATGAAGTTAGATATTGTAAAGTGAAAGAATAATTTTGGAAGGATACCAGTTTTAAAAAGAGCTTCTGTTAAACTTATCAGGTGGACCAACAAGAATAAAACAAAGTTTACACTTAGAGTTTAGAAACATCTTCAAAACTGAAGTACCTTTGAATAACACAGGCTGGAACAATAACACAGAACAGTGTTACACTTCTGTGGAATTAACTGGATTAAACAGTCTTAGTGGTGTACCAGACAACAACCCTGAAGGATCAGTGTTAGCTTCAGCTTCCAGAACTGGTATTAAATAAAGGATACTTTAATATAGTGTGGCCTCTCAACAGGGAAAGAAGAAAATTTTGAAAATTTTCTAACCCTCATCATAAACAAAATTAGTTTTAATTAAAGGAACAGCACTTAATGATGTAATTATCTTCTAACCAATTTAAAAGTTTGTGGCTTGGTGTCCATGTTAAAGTTGTTTGTAATTGCTCATAGAACTGACTAACATAATAACTGTGGAATAAATGCTGTATTAGATGCAGTTATATGATAAGAAATTGTTGTCAAAATTGATTCAATATATTCAGGTTGTTTCTAGGATTGTTTTGTGAGGATAGGTCATTGTGAGGATAGGTCATAGGTCACTGCTTTTTATGTTGGTATTATCTTTTGAATATTTAGACTTGAGAGATGCTTTCTGAGTTGAGAATACATGGTGCTTAA